TGTGATCACGAGCTATGCAAAGAACCCACCTCTTGGCTCCCTGTAAATCTCAGCCTAAGGGATCAATAGCCCAGCTCAACAAAGACTCATCTTCCCCAAGCAGTGACTCTCAAAGTGTGGTCCCCAGGCCAGCAGCAGCAGCAGCATTCCCTAATTCTTAGACATACCAATAACCTATGGCTTCTCTTACATGAGAAACCCAAAGTATAAATAAAGAGCAAAGTAAAAGATAATAGTAAACAGGAAGATAGGACTTTTGCAAAGGGGAAGAGGACAAAGAAATGGAGGGAGGAGAAAGGGAGGGGCAGGCATGGTAGGGAAAGGGGAATGAAAAAAGGGTTAAGATGTGTTATGTACAGCTCCCTGTGATGAATGTAATCATTATGTACTGCAACATGTAGTAATAAAAATTACAATTTAAAAAAAGAAATGCAAATTCCCGTGGGTTAGGGAAAGTAGTTCAGTGATAAGGCATTTTCTCTTCTCTCTCTCTCTCTCTCTCTCCCTCCCTCTCCTGTAGAAATGCAAGTTCTCAGACTCTACCCCAGACCTATGAGTCAGACACTCAGAAGTGGGGCCCAGCAATCTGTATACTACCAAGTCCTCCTAGTGAGGCAGATGCAGGTTCAAGTTTGTGCAGTGGGCTTCGGCATCCATCCTGGGAAACACTTACCTGCTGCTATCTACACCAATCACAACCCCAGCTCATCATCAAATTCCCAACCTCAGGGAGTTTTAAAACAGAAGCCCACAGGCATCTGAGGTCTCATCCCAAACGACTAAATCAGCGTAACAAGGACTCCGAGAGATGGTCTTTTTAAACCAATCACCACATTCCGTGGCAGAGCCTGGTCATCAGCCAAGTCTAGGAACCATTTATACAGTAAAGAGAAGGGTTCAGTGAGGGTGTCCAGGAAGAGACAATGCTTAAACAAACTCTAGAACAATCTGGAGTTGATGAGGAGACAAGGCAGGAAGAGGGCATAGGTGGTCCAGAAACTCGGGGCCACTCATGGCAAGACATATTGCTTCAGATAGCAGGGGCAAAGCTGCATGGGTTTGGTGTAGGAATAGGTAACCAGAGGTTGTGCACTCCAAACCCAGGAATGTGAGCTTTGTCCTGAAGGCAGCAGAGCAACAGAGCCCCTTTTCAAGCTGCTTTGAAGGTGATGGATTGTGGGAGCAAAAAAGCCAGTTAGGAGCTGTGTGTGAAAGAACCATTAAGAAAGTACAACCAGTACAACTAGCCTGGCTGCACACCTTCATTCTAGAGGACCAGGCCCACCGTGCCCTCCCAGCACTATTCCCTTAAGCAATACAAGTATCTGCTCCCTTTGCTTGGTCCTACACCTCTGAAATGCTACCACTGTGCTACAAAGCCAAACCAAGGGAACCAGAAACTAGTTTAAATTCAACCTCCTGTTACTAATTTACTCTAGGGACTCAAAACAAGCAATTGAAATTACAGAAGTAAGTTCAAAGGAAAATATAAAACAATAACAAGGCAAAATACCAAAATAAGGGTAGGACATGAATAACCACTGACATCAGGAAGTGCTGCATAGTAAAGGGTGGCCCTTCAGTGTGGGTTCACAAGGAAGATAAAGCACACAACAGGACACAACCTCGGGGCAGAGTTTAACACACATGCAAAAGACCGAGTCACCTGCGGGTGTGCTCAGCCGGAAAAGTGATGAAATCCCAGCTTCAAAGATGAGGCACACGCACAGCTATGGACACATGAGGGAAAATGGCTTCACGTGAAAACTACAAATTCATACCCAAAGCATCACTAGATAACTTTAAAGGGAAAAAGACCAAGGTGGGGGAGAGAAGTGGCCAGGATTCTGCAAAGGAACAGGCTCTGCCTTTCCTAACAACTCTCCCTAAATGGCACCGATTGTGTGCCAGAAATCACTTCACACATATTACACACATCCTAACAACCCTCTAAAGTGGCTTCCTTTAAAGGCTAAATGATGACTCTCAAGAAGATATGCACCCTGGCCCCAGAACATATAAAAATTGCATGTTAAAAGGCTGAATATTATTTGGAAAAGGGTATGTTCACCCCATCTTATCCATGATTTCACTTCCCGGTGTTTCAGGTATCCACAGTCAACCATGTATGAAACATAGTAATACAGGTATTCGTCTTCACTCATTTAAGAAAAAGAAACAACATTCGCACAACTTGTAATACAGTATACTGTTATATCTGCTTTATTTTATTAATTACTATTGTTAATCTCTTACTATTCCTAAGTTAAACTTTATCTTATATGTGCATGGGGAAGGTGCAGTATTTATAGGGTTCTACACTGTTTTAGTCACTTTTTTGTCACTAGGACAAAATATCTGACACTCACAACTTAAAGGGGGAGAGGTTTCTTTTGGCTTTCAGTTTTTAGGATCAGACCACCATCATGTGGCTCCAAGGCAGGAAGGGAATGGTGGAAGGGTCTAGGGGAGGGAAGCTGCTCATGTCATGGTGGCCAGGAAGCAGAGAAGGGAGGGAGCTAGGGCTTCCAGGTCACACTCCCAGTGACTGGCCTTTTCTGACCAGGAACTCACCTCCTAACAGCACACTCAGCTATGGATTCATCGGTGGATGAATCTACTGATGGGCATAGCACCCATGATTCAATCCCCTCCCAAATGCCCAACTTCTGAACATATGAGTCTTCTGGAGAACATTCTAGATCTAAACCATAACATAGCACCCACTGGGGATCTTGAAACATATTCCCTGCAGATAAAGGAAGTCTGCTATATTTGCAGATATAATTAAAGATCTTGAGGCCATCTGGGTTATCTAAGTAAACTCTAAATCCAATGCAAGTAAGCTTACAAAAAAGGGCAGGAATATTCTTTCCCAGAGTCAAGAGGTACCAAGACCTAGCCTACTCCTGGACTTTGAACTACTACCTTTGGACTGAGAACAAATTTCTGGGTTTTTATCTTATGACTAAATTTTATTGTATTATTTTTACTAGTTTGCAGTACATAATGATTACATTCATCATGAGGAGTTGGTGCATTGCACAACACATCTTAATTCTTTTTACATTCTCTTCCCTTCCCACTCTATCTCTTTTTTTTGGTACCAGGGATCAAACTCAGGACCTTGGGCTTGCGAGGCAGGTGGCAGCACCACTGAGCCAAATCCCTGGCCTGCCCCTCTGCCTCTTGATCACCTTCCCATCTGCAAAAGATTTATCTCCCTGTTTCTTATTATCTATTTTTTATTTTGCTCTTTGGTGTATTTACACTCTGGGATTCTCCTATAAAAGAGAACCATGTAATATTCAAACTTGTGTCGTCTCATTTATTTCAACGAACATAATAGTCTGAAAGTGCATCCATTTTCTTACAAATGACTCAAATTTCTGTTGTTTTAATAAAACCATAAAATGTGTGGTAACTTGTTACAGCAACCTCAGGAAACTGATAAGGCACCATTATTGTTAATCCCTATAAAACAGCAAACACTGAATAGAGCAGATGATATGGACTGTCCAAGGACACACAGTTCATGTGTCACACAACTGATTTTCAAATCCAGAGCCGGGGGTCCGAGTCCGGCCTGGATGCCTTCCCCCACTAGTATGTGTAGCATTATCCCTTTGGCCAAGGTCCCCAAGTGAACATTGAATTCATGGACTCTCTCCTTCCTCCCTGCTATGTTACTGGCTTCTCCACCTTTCCATATACCAAGCTCCCCAAGCTGGGGAAAAAGGCTGGAAGACCAAGGGAAAGGACCAGAGAAATGGAGGGTGAGGAGCAGTGAGAAGGAGCTTGTGTAATAAAGAATCCAGCTGGACTCTGTCCCTGCCTCCTCCTTGGGAATTTCCCAGGTCACAGGAGTAGAGCCTGCTGGTTTATGCTAACAAGGTGACTCACAGTGCCCCTGGATAGTTTATAATCACAGTAACTCAGGATGGGCTATCCCAGAAACATCAAGCCATGTGCTGAGAGGCACAGGCTCTGACCCAAGTGCTCTTAGCCCGATATCTGGGGACAGGGCCACAGGAGACTGAGACTAAGCCCAAGGCCAATACGCCCATCAACCACACCTACACAATGAGACCCAGGAAGCACCCTAGACCTAGACACCAGAGCTTAGATGAGTTTTCTTGGTTAGCAATACCCTGAGTATACACTAACGTGCCAAAAAAAGTGACGGGACTGGACCTGACGGGACAGCACAAGGAGGCTTTGCACGTGGGACCCTCCCAGGCCTCACTCTCACTTTGGTTCCAACTGGTATCCATTTGCTACAGTAGAACTGTAATTCTAACCAGCATTTTCTTGAGATCTCTGAGTCATTCTCATTGAACCTGAAGGGTCATGGGAAGCCTCAAATTTATAGCTAGTTGATCTGAAAAAGGTGCCCTAGGGGACTCTAATCTTGCAGTTGTTGTCTGAAGGGTGAGCAGGCTTGAGGCAGACTAAGCCCCTACCCTGTGAAAGTCAGATCAACTCGGATAGTTGGTGGTAGAAGTCACTAGGGGACCAATATCTCAGGACAACCACTTCCTTGGCCGCTGATCACCAGGAGGTCAGCTTACCCTCAGCCTCCTCTGCTCGGACCACCTCTTTTCCCCACAACTTCCCTGTCCCCACCTCAGTTAAGTACAAAACTTCAGTCCTCAACCCGGTGCCCACCAGTATGTCACTGTCCCTGTGAGTCTTCTACTGCCAGTACCAAAGGAAATAGACCAGAACTGTTTGAAAACATCCCTCCTCTGGCCTTTTGGGCATACTCCAGTTCTAGGATGGCGCTCCCAAATTCCACACCTCAAGGAAACTACCTGAGAAGCTCATGAAATTGAAATCTAGATCCTACCTGTCAGGCTCTGACTCTACAGACCTGAGGTGAAGACTCAGAACATGGAGAATCGTATTTCTGAGGAAGTTACTCCAGTGTAGGGTCAATCATTACCCAATCACAGAGGGTACACAGTTAGAGCACACCTTGGAAAATCCAGCAAGCATGTGAGCCCAGAAGGAAAACTGACCTAAGAACTCATGCTCAGTTACCTGGTTAAACTATGACCAAAACCAAGGCTTCAGCGTGCTTAGGCCCTGAACCTAGGAAAACCTAGGAAACTCAGGAAGAACAGATCAAAAATCACTCCCTTGCCCACTATGGTGGGTCCCCGAGGGAAGGGCTGGACAGCAGGGATTCAGGACAAAAGCTCATAGATCAGCAACTGAATGGGGACCCACAGGGGCCCAGGGCCCAGTGTCCTCTCATGACCGCCAGTCCTGCCACCACGGGGCACCGAGACACAAGTGGCTGAGGCTCCAGACACCTGTGGAAAATGACACCATCGATCAAGACAAGGTCAAAAAGAGGCTTTCAAGGACATGGTGGAGGGAAGGTGAGTTCCAATGGGCCATGCCAGAGTAAAGACGATAGGATCCAAGGCAGGAACACCTAGAAAGGAGAATTTAAGACCTCACTGGTGAAGGGGCTGATGGAGACGTCACTGCACTGAGCAAACGCAAATCACACTGAGAAACATCAGCCTCGAAGGGAATCAAAATTACAATAACTTTGAGGTATTGTGCCAGGGTCAAAATTTTACATATATATGTATATAAATTTTTCCATCCTGTATACTGTCTTCATTCCAATGTTGGCTGGGTTATGAGTTAACAAAGACACATTTATAAGACTGGCGTATTTCAAGATGACTCAATTTTTCTTTAAAACAATCAGGACTAATTAAACTTCTAAAGCTGGTGCATCCTTTGCCTCCAACATTTAACTTTAAGAAATTTACTCCACAGCACGAGCTTTAAAGCCCATAAAAGAGGTTCCTTTCCCTTCCAGCTGCCTAGGCCAGGACACGGGGCACAGAAGGTGCCCTTGGTTACCAAAAGGCACCATTTATATTAAGGAATACTGTGCTTTAAAAAGTACCAATATGTGAACCCTTCTCAGTAATTAAGATGAGATTAATTAAGATGTTGAAAAAGAAATATACTACAGGTGTATAAATGAAGAGGTAAGAGACATAGGTCAGGAAGAGTTTCAAGTTGACTTTTAGTTCTTTTTGACAGCAGGCAGAGCCCTGTGATTGGAACTGGACACCTGGAACAGAAACTGGCAAAAATCTTATTTCTTGACCTGACTGGCGATAACCATGATATAAATCTAACAATTCTTTTAAATTACACATTAGTCTGTATGCATGTAATATTCTGTATCTCTCTTATAACATGAAGGTTTAAAGAAAGTGAAGTAATAAGATGCACAATATGATTTTAATGGATAATTTAACAAGTATATATATAATCATGTTTTGACTATTTCCAAGAATATCTGTGAAAATTATATAATAAATGTAAGACTTAATAACAGAATGACGGTCGGGTACCCTCCCTCCAAGTAAAACCAAAGCAATGAAATACCATTCTTCACTCATCAGACTTTAAATCAGCACATCTGTCACCCAGGGCCAAAAAGGAGCGGGGTGGCTGGAACAAGACTGCCTGACACAGATACGGCGCTGAGGGCTCATTATGCTGTTCCTGCTACTCTTGCACAGTGCCATTTTCCATCATTAAAGGGAGAAAAGAGAGGAGACAGGAAGATTAAGAGAAAAATCCACATTTGTATAGGTCTTTCACATTGGGTATTTGACAAGTTCTGGGTTTTCTCCATGAGAAAAGGGACAGTCACCAAACAACACTGGTGTTATCTATGGTTAGAATACAATTAATGCACTTTTCTCCAATCAGCAATGTTGTACTTCTTTCATCTTTTCATTAATATAGTGACTTAAGATAAAGAAGAAAGGGCCGGGGATTTAGCTCAGTGGTTCCACCATCCACCTCGCAAGCGCAAGGTCCTGAGATTGATCCCCGGTACCAAAAAAAAGAAAAAGATAAGTAAGAAAGGAAAGGTTGGCATAATACAACCTCAGCTAAGCTCACCTAATGCCTTCCTCAGCCCATGTGGGAGCTGATCCTTCCTTCCCCCATTCCTGCTCTATAGTTTGGCTTTTTTCTAAACTCCTTGCAGGTAGGTGGGACCCTGAAGCTTAGAAGAGGAAGAAATACATGACCACATCCCTACCTTTCCCTCTTCTCAGCCTCGGAACCTGAATGGGGCAGCAACCAAGCTTCAAACAGGCAATCATTGAGACTGGCCTGGATCTGGGCACATCAATTCCCAGAGATCCAGTTAGAATACAGAGTCCGATTCATTGAGCCTGAGACAAGGCCTGAGAACCTGGGCCCCAGGAAATGTCCATACTTCTACAGGCCCAGGGACCATACTTTGAGCAACAGACTGGGAGGGCTGGGGATGTGGCTAAGTGGTAGAACAACTGCCTATCATGCACAAGGCCCTGAATTGAATCCCCAGTACAACAACAAAGAGGAAGTAAGAGAAGGGGAAGGGGAAGAGGAAGGGATAGAGGAAGGGGAAGGGGAAGGGAGCGGGGGCGGGGGGAGTACGGAGGCTCTTATTTGGCACAGGTTAGGGTTAGTGTCTGTTTCTGCTGCCTTAAAGATGGTGGGCAAATGGTAAACGATGGAAAATAACAAAATATAAAAAAATTACACTCACAAAAACACCCAACCAGAAAGAGCCAGCTGACCTTTCTCTCTTGACCTGAAACAAACAACCTGAGTTTAAGATTAACTCCAGTCTTGAAGTCCAGCAAGCAAATGAACCTGGAGACAGTTGCAGAGAGATCGTGTTAGCATGCAGTGTCATCAGAGTTGGCTGAGTGCTATCAAAAACAGTCTCCGCCACCCTGGGTCAGACACAGGGCTGTAAACAGTAGAGGTCTCAAAGGCGGTCACAGCCACAGCACTGAAAACACTGGCTTAGGAAGCAGGGGACAAGAAGGTACACGCTGCACTGGCCTTTGGTTCAGACAGCCCCCACCAGCTGGGTAATTCTGAGGCAGAAGCCTATACAGAGGCTGTTTACCCTCCAAGACCACAGCTATGATTAATAGATTATTAGTCTATTAAACCTCAGCAAATATTTATGTCACCTCAGCCCTCAGCATGCTAAGAGTCTGGAGTATTTGAATGTCACCCTGTTTATACAAAATTATCAGGGAACAGATGAGAACTGACAGTGACCCTCACAGGTAATTTGAGAAGCTCTGGCTTTCAGTAGAAACTTCTTGGTTGCTTAACTTTATATGTCTCTTCTATTTACATAACAGACATTGGTCCTAATAGCCACAGAGTTCACAGTTTGATGTGACATCCTAAGAAACTGGAAGGAGGGAGCAGGATTCCCATGACCTCCAATCATCCCTCGCCAGCGGCCTGGAAAATAAGTTCAACTCAATCGAAGAAGCGCCTACCCACCCAAGAAGGCTAATCACCACCCTCTCCCCACTGACCTCAAGGGAAGGTCAGATGAATTCAGGAAAAACCTAAGTCGCTGAAATGCAGCTGGAGTAATCTCAAGTACTAAGGTAACTTCCTGGGGAAAATGCTGAGTCTACCCAGTTCCCTGGGCACAGCAGGCATTAGTGGTAAACCGTGTCCAGGCAATCTAATTTACACCACTCATTTGCTTAGAAAAACCTTTCACAAGCAGGGAAAAAAATAATTTCCAGCCGGGGATTTAGCTTAGGGGTTCCGCCGCCCGCCTGGAAAGCGCAAGGTCCTGAGTTCGATCTCCGGTACCAAAAAAAAAAAAAAAAAGAAGAAGAAAAATAATCCAGCCCAGTCTGTTTAACTGGCCAAAAATTTCATAAACATGAAATCTAAACTAATCCTCTTACTTTCCACAAGGTACAAGCTCCACTAGGCTACAGGTTGTTTTTGACATTTTTCATTTCTCCAGAGTATGTGGTATAATAGAAAGCTTGTGTCCAACCAACCTAAAAATCTGCTGCTTGATACAAAAATACACACACACACACAACACACACATGCACACACGCACAAACTATGAGACCTCATTAATTTTAAGTCCTCAAAAAGACAAGAAAGAAGGCTGGGATTTAGCTCAGTGGTTCCGCTGGACAAGTTCGATCCGAGTTCGATCCCCGGTACCAAAAAACAAAAAAAAGGACAAGAAAGAAAACAGATATTTAGCCATAAAAGTTGTAGAAGCTGTATCCATCCCAATTGATTTTTTTTCTCTAAATTCAAAGAGTAATTTTTTTTTTTCAAAGAGTAATTTTTGTAGAACAAAGTCCAAACTTATTTGGAATTACCCCAAAAGTTCCAAGGCTTTTCCTAAAGTCTCCAAACCAACAGCGCTTGTGTCAGAATTAATACAGGAGTCCTCTTTTCCTAACACTGCTTTCAGCTTTGACCTGGTAGGTCCTCCTTGGGGCGCAAGTTCATCCTGCCCAGCCTTGGCCCTGTTAGCTTGGGTCAGGGTGAGACCACTCCCCCAGCCCCCTTTTAATCTAATTTCCTTTCAATCCCCCTACCCCCTAACCCATACTGGGGATCTAACCAAGGGCGCTCTACCACTGCACTACATCCCTGGCCCATTTTATTTTGAGACAGGATCTCACTAAATTGCCCAGGCAAGATGCAAACTTGCAATCCTCAGCCTCCTAAATGCTGGGGTGACAGGTATCCATCACACCCAGCTTAATGTTTAAGGCCCACAGGAACATTTTCACAGTCTTCAGCCCCCAGCCTAAGCTACTATGCAATCCATAATTATTTTTTGGCAAATGGTATAAAGTTTAGAGAAGAAGGGGATTTGATCACCATGCTATGATTTCACTACAAGCAAATACTGCATCTATTAAAATAAATGAGCCAAGGCATCCATTTAAATTTTATAACATCACCATTCTAAAGTCTTAGGAGAAAAGACAAAGGGTTAAATAAGCACCAGTTTGAGTTCACATTCCTGGTACCTGCCCATGAGCTACTGAGATTGCTTACGCTCCATAAATAAAACTTGAGGGCTTCATGGCTCTGCAGCAGGACCAAAGGTGTGATCCAAGTCTGCAATCCCCTCACTGGATCAGAACAGGAAACCAATTCTCCACGCAGATGGGTCCCACTTCTCTACAACTTCCTCACCTAGGCACTGCACTGAGTCCTTGGCAACTACTCCAGACCTGGAATGGACCCCCTCAGCAGCACTCTGAGCAGAAACTGTGTACCGCAAAATACCAGATTGGGGCACCATAGTTTATGCACAATATTGAGAACTGGGTAAACAACAGTTGTCCAAAACAGTAACACTGACCTAAACACTGATTTAAAATGTAATAACATCGCTCCCTATTATTTAGTGTTAAGATAATTGCACGTCAGAAACTTTTCTCATTGGACCGTACTATGTCAATGAGACAGGCTTCAGGAAAATTCCAGCAGAACCAATTCATTCTTTAAAGCGTTAGGTCAATTACAAACATACCAACCCTCAGCTTGAGTAGCTGCATATTCAGAAAGAACAAAAATACCCTTTGAAAAGCCTCCATACGTGGTCTAATTAAAGGGTTTATTTAGTAGGAAATCGAGAGAAAATTCCATGATGAATCTCTGGGCAGTTTCTAAAACAGCTTCCCATGCACACTGAAAACTGTTTTATGTAACCACAGATGCTGATAGAGGTGAAAAACAAAAGCAACTGAAAACCACACAAATGGGTCCTATAAGCCTTGGAGGCGACCCTTGAAGGGGGTGGGCTGTCATTCTCACCGTGCTGGCCTGGGTCATCCATATAGTCCTATAACCAAGCCCAGCTTTCGGAATGCCTCTTCCAAGCTAACCCAGTTCCATCTGGCAGCCCCTTCTGCTCCTTCATCAAGGCCTCATGGGAAGGAAGGGGACACAGGGAAGCAGCACCTCACACAGGCAAATCCCCTCACTGGGCTAAGAGCGATGAACGTGCATCCCCTCAACCCCTAGCCGTGCACTCCAAGAGCAGAAATGGGGCCACCTGCTCGAGGCCAGAGCCAGGCAGACTTCTTCCTTGTTCCCACAGAAGGAGTCTTCTCTCAACCACAGCAAGGGGAGCACCCTTTCTATTAACAGGAACACGATGAACTTTTTCACCAGGAATCTCAAAGAAAGAACCTCAGGAAACTAGAATTATTACACTCATTTAATTCAACTTGACTCTAAGTGCACAAATGCCATAGCCACTTTTCGGGGTTCTAGATCACAGATGCAGGTCGTTTTATTCATTCGGGGGCAGTGAGGGGAAGGAGGGAGAGGACCCAACTAAAGAGGCAGGTTCGGGATAACCCTGAGGGCCACATGGAAGTCAGCAGGGAGCCAGGGGAGGGTAGGAATGAGAGAAGCCAAGCTCCTCAGTGACAAGCAGGGGCCAGGATGCTCCTGGCAAAGAGACAGCAGCTGTGCAGAAGCCCTAAGGCCTAAGGGTCACAGAGAAGCCATCACCACTCAGGATATAGCCGCTCCCTGGACAGGGACCATGACAGAGTCCTGAAGACAAGAGAGGGCAGCGGGGCACCAGGTCCAGCAGGAAGGCATCATGCATGGCTACCGTTCTCTTCCGTCCACACTGCAGGGTTCATAATGTGCCCTCCACTGACGCACAAGGAAACTGCCTCAGATGGAGCTGGACCGAGACCTCACACATGAGGATGTTCCTCCCACATCAGGGCTGAGGAATCCGCTTCCCCAGCTGTGGCAGCCCACTGCTGCTCCCCACCCACGCTAACAGGGGAGAACCAGGCGGAGGGCCAGAGGGAGCCAAGTAGATGGAGGTCACGAGATCACAGGGGTCTGCTAGCCCCGCCCCCACTCAGGATGCCCTTGGGTCCTGGGTAGCAAATGAGGCCCCTTGCCCTGGCTTTCTGTCCTGTATACCTGCTCCACCTCACATATCCACAACCACCTTCACTAGCTGTGCTCACCTCATCTTCTGGAGACCCCTCTGGCCCCCACAAACTGGACCCAGGCATGACATCCCAGCTCCCACTGACCCTGAGCAGTGAGTACAACCCACTCCAAGGCCAAGCCAGGGCCACATGGAGGACACAGCAGGAAGAGGACCGAACACTGCCCTTGTAGCTGTCACACCCACTGTCCTCATGTACAGAGTGAAGATGACCCAGTCACTTCTGCGGCTACCCCCTCAAGTGTGGAGTGAGAGGTTTTTAATGATTGTCACTCTGGGTCAAGGTGAGCAAGTATCTATATCATCTGCCTCACAGATCTGGTACGGGTCGGAAGGGAGCAACTCTCAAGGAATGTGCACTTCAGCAGGGGGACTGATCAAATTCTCATCGGCCCTGGATACTCAGACATGAAAGGGGGAGCTATCGTTTAATACAGTATGATCAGGGTACACCGAGGTCACCACCTCTTAGCAAGATCTAAAATGAGAGACTGCTGGGCCTGGTGGTGCACACCTGTGATCCCGGTACTCGGGAGGCTGAGGCAGGAAGATCACCAAGAATCCTGGCTAATCTGGGCTACATAGTGAGATCAAGGTCAGCCTGAACTACACAGCAAGATCCTGTCTCAAAAAACAAAACAAAAAACCTCAGCAGATTAAAAATTCTACTGTTACTCTAATTTCATGGTAAATCAGGGTAAGATTCTCCCTCCTTTGAGGAAAAAGAAGTGCGGGGAGAGGGGCTTTCACACTGATAAACTGCTTCTGAAATGAAAGGGTGCAAGTAACAACACGTAGGAGCACGGCCTGATGGGGGACCCAGAGAGAATGAACACAACCCTTTTCCACAATCTAGCCAGAGGCCAAAATCCACTGGGCAGCAGGCTGCACTTCAGAAGTGAAGATTTGGCCTGAAAAACATCAACAACAGATTGCTCACCCTAGGAAAGGAAATCCATGTCTGTACCACGGTATGCTTCTGCAGGCTCGCTTCGTAGGGAATTTAAGGACAGGAAAGAGCCTTTCTGCACACAGTGAAATGCAATGTCACTGGAAGCACCACGTGTTCCAGGGGCCCTTCCCGGATCACCCTGGCTCCTCACGCACACGTTCCGGGATGTGGCTTGTCTCCTCTATCGGCTTTGCATGTAACTTTCAAGATTTGACAAAAGGAATCAGGCAGCCCAGCCCCTCCTTGTATTTGCTCTGTTGCTTTTGGCATGAAATTTAACCTCTCTGCACCTCGCTTTCCTCTGCAGGAGACGCCACCCACGGCAGTGTCCCCCTACCTTGTCTAAGAAAGGCAGCACCCTGGGAAGGTAGGAAACCACTGGGAAAGTCTTGAGGGTCCCAGAGTGACCAGCATGCCTGTGTTGAGGTGTGAGGGACCCTCCCTCTGACTTCAGGGTGACAAGATGACCCCAATCTTCAAACATCCCCAAACCCTCTCTGCACATGGACCAAGAGAAACTGGTAAAAGGGGCTGATTTTCAGAGCCCAGCAGAAGAGAACAGAGGGGAGGCAGGAGGAGGAGTTAGAGGAGGCCTGTACGGGAGGAAGTGTGGGCTGAGACCTTCTAGTCAAGTCCACGTGCTCCCAGGACCCACAGTGCCCCCGGGTCTAGGGTGGCCTGCTCCCTGCCCAATCCCCCGGGATGATCCCCAAGGAGGGATACATCAGCCACCACACTTGACATAGCGCACCTTCAACATTCAAATTCAAGTTCACCTCTTCCTTTCTGGAAATTCTTGCCAGGAATAGGATCTGAACACAGGAGAGGGAGGAAATGGCACACTGGCTTTTTCCGTGAGACCCTGGGTGACTCACTTCTACCTGCCTTGAGCCCCCGTTCTTTATCTGCCACTAATTTCTCCAAGAGAATTTGAGACAGGGAATCAAAATGGCTTTGAGTTCACCCAAACTCTGCCAGTCAGAGGCCAATGTAACCTGTAAAACCCTCATTTTGCTGCAGCCTGATACTTTCCACACTACTAGTCACTTGCTCTCCTGTTTTGCTCTTTATGAAAATGCGAATTCCCAGAAATCAAAGGCCATTCATTCCCTCCTGTATGTTCCTGAGCTCTGTGGGATCCCTTCTGGCTGGACCTCATCCTTCCAGGAAGAGACGCTCAGAAAATGTGCCTCCTCCTCACAGGAAAGGAATCCCTCCGAGCAGAGCTGTGGAGAGGAGCCAGCTTTGTGGAATTTCCCTTCAATTTACTTTCTGGGCAGCTCCCAGCAGAAATGACCAAAATCCACTCAAAAGAGGAAGAGGAAGAGTTTGTTCTGGCCTTCTCAGAGACTAAATTTTTCTTTCAAAAATGGTTTAAGGAGAAACAAGTACTGCCTTCTATTCTAAAAGGGGAGAGGAAAGAGGACTTTGAGTTGCCTGGAAGAACAACGGCTCCATTTCTTTTCTTAACTATTAACAGAGGATACCCTAGGGACTTACATGAGGGTTTCCCAAAAGTAAAGTAATTGGGGCAATTTGCATGTAGATGCAAAAGCGAATGTTAGTTCAGAGCTGCTGTGATGCTCCAGGACAAGATTACACCAGCTGAAGACGCCTGGGAGGAACAAAATCTTCATCTACTCAGTTCTTCATTGTTCTTGGATTTCCGCTGCCCCCGCCAGTCATTTGTGGTTTGTTTTTTAGGGGTTTTTTTTGGTACTGGGGATCGAACTTGGGACCTGGTGCTTGTGAGGCAGGCGACGAAACCCCTGAGCTATATGCCCCGCCTATCCCCAGCCATCTGTTACCCTTTGTTTATCCCAATGTACTGAACTCTCTGCAAGTCATTTGATACATTTGTTTCTCCCAAGGCACTGAATAAAAGGTGTGGTAAGCTGGGGGCTTTGTCTTTGCTGCCCAGAGCAGCACTGATCAGACCCAAAGCTCAGCTTCTTCTCAAAGTCTCATTTTTCTGCCTTTCCTGTATAATAAGTTAATTCACCTTGCGCTGCCATGGCTCACAGGAGACTAGGACTTACTGCAGAGGTTCTAGTAACGCCCCCTTTTCCTGTTCCCTACAACCTACCAATGGTAGAGGTGGTACAGTCATAGACAGCACAGTCATGCATGTACCAGTGGTTGTTCAACCCAGCTGGCAGTGAGACACACAAATCAGGCGCCCCGTCACAAGCGTGTTAATAAAATAGAACAGAAAATTATCAGTACATTGTAGCTATATCTTGCATGAGTATTGTTTCTTAACACTAATTTCTGTTAAAATACATATATATTAAATGACTGTGTGTTGGGTGTGGTGTTACACACCTATAATCCCAGCACTCAGGAGGCTGAGGCAGGAGGACTGCTATGAGTTTGAGCCCAGCCTGGGCTACATGGAAATTCAAGGTCAGCCTGAACTACAAAAACAGGGCCTGTCTCAAAAAGCCAAAATAAATAAGTGTGTAGGACAAGGAGAGATAAAATACAGGTGTCTTGGGACATTACATAAAATCTGTAGAATGGGATCAAACATTTAAAGATTAGTTCTGAAAACATTTTTTTAAATTTTAAAAATAATTTAAAAAAATAAAGACTAGTTCTGGCCGGGCATAGTGGTGCATGCCTATAATCCCAGCACCCAGGAGGCTAAAGCAGGAGGACTGCTGTGAGTCTGACATCAGCCTGGGTTACATAGTAAAAACTACAAAGTGAGACCCTGTCTCATAAAACCAAACAGACAAACAAAGACTGGTTCTATGGGCGTGGTTCTCAAACTTCAGCTGGCATCAGAATCATCAGGAGCATTGATTATACAACAACAGGGCCCCTGACAAGATTTCAGTGGGGCCGAAGAGACTGCTTTTCTAACAAGTCCTCAGCTGCTGGTCCCAGAACCTCTCTGAGAACAGCTCCTCCGGAGCCAGTAGGTCAGAACTAAGTCATGACACAGTGGCCTCAGTGCAGACCATCTAAGCGGATCCAGACTCTGAAGACGATTCTCGGGCCTTTCCCCCTTAATTTCAAAATGGTACCGTCTTCTTCAGGCGCAAGGGCTTCTTATCAGTTTGAACCACAACCCGGAAAAGGGCCCCTCTTCCCCAGGGAACCAGGGATCTGTCCATGGTCTGCCTCCCAAGAGGCCTCCCACAGTTCCGGACACTGCACTGTTCCCAGTTCACCTCTCACCTAGCTCTGTAACCAGCTCCAAAACCACTCCCTCCACCTTGAACCTGGATCTTTGTTCTGTTCGGTGTCTCTGGCTCCAAGGGAGCAGACGGCAGGGCCTGAGTGTGGCAACTCCGGATCTGGACAACCTGGGGTCAAATCCTTGCTTTGCCACTAGGACAAGGGTCTTAACCTCTGTGACTCCCTTTCTTCACCTTTCAACTACGGATGATAAAGTACCACTTCCGAGGAATGTCAGGAGGCGGGAACTGGGTTTTAATTCCCAGAAGGGCTGCACAGGTGTCTGCTGTTGGCAAAAGCATCGGCCCTCACGCTGCCCCGGGTCTCTCTGGGCCAGCGCCCCACTATCTCGTACTCCTGGCCCCTGGTCCTCACCCTCAGCCCCCGGTCCCCCGCTGACCGGGGAGGGAAGGCTTAACCACCTCTGCATTGGCTTTGACCGGGTTTTAGAAAGCTTCTCACTGTGTAGGGATCTAACCCTCTAGAGCAGTGCTGTCAACAGAACTGTCTATAAAGAGGGACCCACTCCACCTACGGGAAGGGAAGAAGCACATAAGATTGCTTTTATCTTGGGCGGGGGGGTTAGCTCAGTGGTTCTGCTGCCTGCCGCGCAAGCGCAAGGCCCCAAGTTCGATCCCTGGTATCTGTGTAATTTAGCGCGCGTGCACACACATACACACCCTGCTTCACTGGAGAGGTAATTGGAAGGTGAATCCCAAGTAGGTGGAATGCAGCAAAGCTGTCCTATGTTCACTCAAGCACAGAAACTGAGCCCCTACACGCCAGGACTAGCTCAAGGCACCAGGGACATGCAGTGACAACACACACACAGGAACCCCGCTGAGAGTCTGGCAGCCTTGCAGCTAACCCAGCCTTTCCAGCAGACATCGAGTGTGTGGTGCACACCAGGTGCAGAGGTGTTTCCGGTCTGCCCCCACTGGATGGGAGTCTCTTAGGTCAGGGACTGAGCCCGCTCCCCACTCTGTCCCCAACACCCATTACCCAGAAAGGCAGGCAAAAGCAAGGCCTCACGCCAGGCAAGCTGGGTTTGAAGCTAGGCCTTGCCACATGTGCATGAGCGTGGGAAGTGATGGTGCTTACCCCACAGGTTCGTTACTAGGATTAAATACATAAGAGATTTACAAGCTACTTAGCTCCCATCAATATTAAGTGCTGCACAATGACAAAGTTAAAAGAGAAACAAAACCAAACCCAGCACCTGACACACAGCAGGTCGGCGTCCCTTGAATAACAGGCTACGCATAAGCTAATGGACAGGTTTTCAAGAAAGATTTCAGCATGAGTTGAGAGACAGGTACACTGGACAGAAGGAGCATGAGCTAAGGGACCAGGACAGCAAGCAATAGGTGTGGACAGGAAAAAACCACTGACTGGCTGGCCAGGAAGGGACCGTGCGTGGACAGCATTCAATGCCAGGCCAGTGGCACCGAGGCAGAGCAGGGCTGTGTGAAGACAAAGCTGCAGGGTTGGGTGAGCTGGCATCGGGCACCACTGAGCGGCTCCAGTCCAGCCCTGGCCAGGGCCCAACTTCCCTGTCATGGACCAGCAGCTTCGTGCAGCCATACAACCCAGTTACCTGGGCAGAAGAAGGAAGTCAGCCGGCAGACAGCCACAGCACTCTGCTGAGGAACCACTTTCTGCGAGACTTCTTGCAGATGTGGTGACACCAACTTCTAATCTTCAAAGTACTTTCAAGATAATGGTCCAGTTCTGCATGTGAATTAAATTTCTTTTGTTGCCTTTTTAAAAAATACATTTTCATTGTTATGGGGCAGTTACAAATAAGTTAATTACATACTCATGGGATGAGGATATTACACCCTGCACTATTTCCATATTTCCCCGTTCAACTAGAGGTAGGGAGAAAAATAAGTAATAGAACTTTCTTACTTTATTATCTTTAAAATATAATCTTGGGAGCTGGGGATTTAGCTCAGTGGTTCTGCTGCCTGCCTCATAAGCACAAGGTCCCGAGTTCGATCCCTGGTACCAAAAATAAATAAATTAAAATTAAAATTAAATAAAATATAATCTGGGACTGAGTGTGGTGATGCGCATTTGTAATCCCAGCACTTAAGAGGCTGAGGCAGGAGGATTGCCTCCAGTTCCAGGCCAGCCTGGGCTACATAGTAAGTTCAAGTCCAGCCTGAAATGCACAGTGAGACCCTGTCTCAAAAAAACAAAAAAAAATAAGTAAAAATAAAATGTAATATAATCTTGGAATATGCCCTGAGAAAGTGTCATTTTACCAACCTGTAGGAGATGGCAAATACCAGAGCAGCCACATTTCGTGTCCATCACATGTCACGGAGCTGTGAAGTGCAAGATTATGAACTACAGCCCAGGTCTTCTGGCTCAAGTCTGAGACTCTGTTATATCTCAGGTGTTCCTATCTAAAGTACAAGTGCCAGCAATTCCAAATTCAAAAAAACTTGAATAAGCCTAAAGTACTGTAATAATTTATAGTTACTGCTTAAGCATATTAAGTGCAAGATAATCAGCTAGGTACTAAGAGATGAAGAGGTAGATGGAAGACATTGGTTTCTGATCCCAAAAAGCTAGCAACTTAGTTTAAAAACAAAACTCAGAAATGAATAATGTCTCAAATAAGAGTCACTTGAGGAATAAAAAAGACATGATCAAACAATTAATTTTGCAACAATTCTTGTATATGTACTAGGCACCTGCATATACTGTTCTGGGTGACATCCATTAAGAATGCATCAGCTTGAGGGCTGGGGATTTAGCTCAGTGGCACCCCACCTGCCTTGCAAGCTCAATGTCCTGAGTTCGATCCTCAGTACCAAAAAAAAAAAAAAAGAATGCAGCAGCTTTACCTATGAACAAACTGGGCTGCCAAATGAGCTCAGAACTCATACAAATGCCTCATTTGGGTTCTCATAAGGACCCTGTAGACCCAATCTAGCATGATAAGCAATGGATAGCGTCTCTTTCACCATTTAAAGTAGGACACCTTGTACACCATCTTGAGAGAGAGGATCCACAGTTTAGCTGGTGGGATGATCCGTTTAAGAGGTAACCTTAACAGAAGGGGCCAACTGGGTTTATCACATCATCTCCATCACATCCTAACCAATAAAGTACACCAACAAAGATCAGCCAGCAAGAGCAATTTATTAGGCAAGCAATTTTACACTCACAAGGGTGGAATTCCCACCCCATTGCCCTCATGAGCTCAATCAATCTCTGACCCAGGGTGAAGAAATAAATACTACAGAGACAAAGACACAAGATTTCATTGTACCTGACTGTTTCCCAGCTCTACTGTGTCTACCTCGATAAACCTCAATTCAGCCTCTCTGGCCTCAGTTTCCTTCACCCACAACACGAGGACACAGCCACTCTACACAGGGGGTGCTGTAAGGATCAAAGGACCCTCTAGCTCCTAGCTCCCAGGCACACAGCAAGTCCCCTGACCTGCTGCCACCCACTGAGCACCCACAGGGATGGCTACATCCCACCCCAGCCAAGGTTCACATGTAAGTCCTTTGAGAAAAACCCTCCTTGGCCAGAAAAATTAGATGCACACAGTAATGCCTGTCATCTTTGAGAAGCTGGTAGCCACGGGTCCTTTGGTTTTCTTGTCCATCAGAAACTCCACAGGAACCATTTAAAAATACTGATGCCAGGTATCACTCCCA